ACACTCCTTGGTCCTTCCATAAAATACCTCTGTAAGCCTGATTATGAGGCATCACTCTTATTCTTAGTATGATCAGGGATCGCTAACACTAGTAAACTTGCCCAAGTTGCCTAGCGGAGTGCTGGTTCATCGAAATGCTAGTGGACATAAGGCCTAGCATTACAGCTCTATTCTAAAGATTCGATTTATACAAAATGATGGCAAATAAACTGAAGCGAGTACGCCATCTTTATGTCCTCGGAGTACGCCATACGCTGGTTTCAATGAACTCTGATGGCCGCAAACAAGATCTTGTTGGATCTGCCAACTACAGATTATTTTCCTTGTGGGTTAGCTATCTATGAGTTAGTGCCTGCTCAACCGTTGCTTTGTCCACATTGCATGGCATTCAGCCACTGATACAGCCGGGTCCGTGGGTAGCAAGCGCCAAAATACTAGGGTTCAGTCTTTTAGTAGCCAGGGGGCTTGGCCAGTGGGCAATTGAGCCGCTCAACCCATTGGGGCAAAATTCTCACTCGTCCATCAATGAGGCCATTGGTGTCTCTATCACTGATAGTGGTTTCACTGGAACAAGGATGTTATTTTTTACCTCGCCGGGGTGGAAAGCGCGGAAAGCGCTACTGTGCAGCCATGTGCCTTATGGTAGACAGATCCATGGAGGGAGCTCTGTGGGGTTGGTCTCAAATTTGATCCCCCAAGGCTAATCCAAACCTCCCCACGATAGACTTCTGTTGACTTGGTCGTCGCATACTTTGCTAGATCGTCGATGGATATTCTCAATTTAGATGCAATGCTAGAAGGCTTGCCGGTAATCACCAGTCCGACTGCGGACTCTCAGGACCAGTCAGAGAATAACACCCTTAACATCAGAGCTCAGGAGAAAAGCACACGCAAGCTCCGAGCAGCCTGTGATGGATGTCATGCAGCCAAAACACGATGTACAGGAGGGACACCATGCGCTCGGTGTTACAGAGAGTAAGTGAATCCCCCCACCAGTCACGAAACAAGGTCTAACCCCGCCTTGCGGGCCTCAGCAATCTTCGATGTCACTATAGCTACAAAGCAAAACTCGGGAAACCGAAGGGCAGTATGAACAAGAAAACGATTGAACGGTTGCGGCGCATGAGAGAAGCACAAGAGAGGGATATCCGTAAATCCCAGGGAGCAGCGCCCACGCCGCCAGCCATATCCAGCACAAGTGCAGCGGGCTCGAGTTCAGATGCAAGGCCCGATATACTTCAGCTGCCATCGGAATTGGGGGAATTTAGCGTCCAGATCAGGTCATCCGAGCCCACGTTCGAGGCATTTTTCCTTCCTGATGAGTGTCTTCTTGAGCTCGAAAACCACTGGCCATCGGCTGCCGCAGAAAGCCCTTCTCGCACTGTATGTCTCTTCAAAAGCGCATGTACTGTGTTGCCACTAATTGGGCTCGAAGGATCAGGACAATGCTCAGCTGCCCTTGAATGACATGACTCCTCAAGTCGAAAACGCCAATACTAAGCAGGATGCTAGACTAACCCTTGATAACATTTTCTGTCTGGAGGACGGGCGTCATGAAACCTCCCCTCGACCCAGCACGACCCCTTCTGAGTCGAGCCTCGCATCCCTACCTTCAGATCCCCAACTTCTGCCAGTGCATCAAGAAATTAAGACACGAGGCATCACACACTCGACGTTGTTGACATCCCGCGTATATGACAATTCTGTCTGCGGCATCACCTCCTGCGCGCATTCGCCCTGTGCCTGCTTCTCCACCGCAACCAACCACCTCTGCAATCTGCGAACCACACCGCGGAGCGCCGAACAATTTAGATCAATTGATACGTTACTGATACACTCGCGACGCATGCTTCCGTCCATCCGCCACCTTCTGAAGTGCCGTTCTTGCACAGCAGATACTCAAGCGCTCTTCTTAGCGAAGATGGTTCTCTCTCGCTTGCTGGAGTGGAGTCGCTCCTCTCTGTCCGCTTATGGAGTGTGCGCAGAAGTGCGTCTGGGCAGATACCATGCTTCTGGAGAGTTTGGCGCCATCGTAGCAACGATGATCATTCAGAAACACTTGGGAGAAATCAAGAAGACGGTGGAGGAGTTTAAGAAGAAGGTGGACGAAATGCCGCAGGGAAATTCGGACGCGGCTTATCTGACCCTGCAAGTGAAGGGCTTTGAGATTGAGCTGGACGGACTAGTCGGGAGAATATCAAATGACAGTGCTGTATCGGCTCATTAGCATATATGAGAAGTGAAGGAGAGTGACAATGAGGAGTTTGCTAGTGCCGTCAAGAACTGAATGATGCAATCATCAATCCTTCTACAATATCCTAATCAGTGGACGAATTCATAATATCAGCAATTGTCAGACTTGCGACCATGTGTAGCCAACGGATTTACTGCTACTATGGGTGTAACCTAGAGAAGCAGTGCCTTGACGAGCATCATCCATCACTTGCGATCGTTCTTGCACCCATAAGCACGACGTAGTTGCCGGCCCACATGCCATGATGTCCGTATATCCTGAACCAGGCATTCGGCCAAGATTGTCCAACATGCACTGGTTTGCGCGTCAATGAATCAGGCTAAACTAGCAACTCCGCAGGCCGCCTCGGTGTCAAGACAAGCCTCGCATCAGAAATAGGCACCCATGTGTTCTTGACATTTTTGTACCCGGAACTGGCGGCTTTCTCGGTTTCCGGAAGCCTCAGCTCATAGCGGCTGAGCAGGCAACAAACAAATTGTTTCATTATTGCTTCGCCAAAGTGCTGGCCTATGCATTTCCGGGTTCCAAACCCAAACGTGTAGAGGTTGTAGCGAAGCTAAATATTGTTAGCTACAGTTCCCGCACATGGAGTTCCACTGCAAATACCTCTGTCGGCGACAACTTTTTGAACCGATCCGGCCTGAATTCATCGGTGTCTTCACCCCAAAATTCACCGTTGCGACTGAGTGCGAGGTTGTCCACGACTACACACGTCTGCTGCAGAGTCAGTCAATGTGGCCCCTTCTGCACGTGAACACCATACATTCTCTGGAATAATGAAATGCCCGAAAGCTTTCTTCTGGGGAGAGCTGGCAGGAATGGTGAATACTACCCGTTGTTAGTGAGACATCGAGGCGTCTGTGGAGCACAGGACCAATTGATACTCGCAGCAAGCAACGTACCGGTGAATGGTCGGAGTCGGATGGATTCTAAGAAGCAATGATGCAATAATGTATCCTTTCGAGCACAGAGTTTCGGCAACGTCAAATCTGTTGCGGTGATTTCGTCCCGCAGTCGAGCTTGCCAGCCGCTGTTCTCCGCCAGCAGTATGATCAGCCAGGTGAGGATATGAGTCGAAACGTCGAGGTTCGCAAAGATGATCTCGCTTAGAGTCTGCACTAGCTATGGTTCAATTAGCTGCTGTGTCGCGGACAAGACGCAGTTAAAATCATGCTGTACCTCCATCTTTGGAATATTGCCGCTGAGCACTTCTGTCCAAACTGGAACAATCGGGCGGGTGGTATCAGAGCATCGTTGTTTATTGTACATTCGTTCGTTGAACGATGACCAATCGCGCTCGAATTCAACCAACTGCCGGTATGTCCCTGGCTTGAGCCACCGGTAGATTTTATATCGATGCACTCCACCGGATAGTACATGGGCCATCATCGCCAGGCTTCGCTGTCCAAGCGCCCAAATCTCTTCTTTCTCGTCATCGTCCAGGGGCCCATAGATGTATTCCGCATTGGCCATGAATGGAAAGCGGGAGAAGGTCTGGGCAGCATGAACTACGAAGGAACCGTTCTCCCCGGGATTAAGCGTTTTCTCCAGCCTCTCAATATAATCTGCGGCATACTGCGTCGGCTGATCGGCGAGTCGGGCAATGGCACTTTGGACAAACCAGGGGTCAAATTGGGCCCGGATTCGTTTCCATCGCTGTCCATTGATAAGTCCCATACAGTCCCCAAGCAGCTGATGAAACAACCAGCCTCCGTTGCTTGACCGGGCCTTGCTATGAGTCACGGAATCGATATGAAAGCGCTTGACGTCCTCTGGTTTCGTAATGACTCTGGACAGGAGAATAAATGTCAGTTGCCTTGTCAGCGTAGCAATTCTATCTACCGGTACATACATCTCAGGCTTCATTCCTGACCAGATTCGATAAACAGATCCGTACATCCGCCACTTCTGGCTGGACTGTCTACCTCGGATGAACTTGTCGAGACAATGTCCATCGAGCCACTTCCATGCAGGACCTGGAATAGACTGTCCATCGCTGCTCCGCAAGGGGTAGACAACGTCCGAGAGCTTGGGATGATTGTGAATTTTGCGCCACTGCGTCTCTAGACGGGAATTACTTACGCAAACACCTATCAGCCACTCCAATCGAAAAATTGCCCATAGGAAACAAATTCCCAGTACGGCGGAGACAGACGAGACATGAAGATAGTTCGTTGATTCCATGGATCAGTTCAGCCGTACAGAATCTGCTAGGCAGAGATGTTGTTATGGAAGAATGGGAGTACAAAGTCACAGTTTTCACTTGTCTCTTAGGAAGCATTATCGGCATCTAATATTAGTATTGACGTTTTATCAACCGAATAAACGCCGCGATACCGCAGGGTAGAATGCGCCGGGGAATTAACCTGCAAACTTATGGATATGGAACGATTCTGGATGGAAACTCTGTATTATGTATTATCCTCATTCGGAACCCTCTCCGGGGATATTTTCCCTTTTTCTCACCGGTAACAACGCAAGTTCTCTAGATATGCTTCGGCTACATCTGTGAAGGCTTCACGAAAACTGAACCCACACAAGCTGGTCCAAATGTCCGATCTAAGACAATATACAAGCTGTATCCTTTTGTTGGTCATGCATGAGTAATTCGACATGGGTGATTAACCTCCGGATTCAAGTAAGAAGTAACATTCCAACAATCCCCTTTAGAGGCCCAACTTATGTAGGTATGAAATCCCAAGCCACTTGAGAGTTCTCGATGCATGCTGCCAGAAAGAGTGGAAAGTTAGCTGTACTCCATCGAGTCTGTTCCAGTAATCGTGTCGAGCTGGTCAAGAAGGACATACCAAAGCTCCTTTACCCCGTCATAGTATGATCCCGTTCTCAGTCTCTTTCCTCTGGCCTCGAGGAACTTGGACAGTCCCCGAGCGATCTGATCATCGTCGCGAGAATAATGCCGGACTGGAAGATATACCTTGGATTGTGGAATAGAGGCATTGCTTTTCAACTCGAAGTAATAGAGAATTCCTCCCGTTCGATGGGAATTCTCTTGAAGTGGATCCAGGTTGCTATGCTCGTCCTGGTGCAGGTCAAATACGGAACGCCATAGTTCCTTCAGCGATTTGCATCCCTCATCGGAAATGGCGACTCGACCTCCCAGAGTCAGCATATCAACAACGCTGTGTAATGTCGTGTTTCGGCTGCGCAGGTAGATCTTCAGGCGCGAATCACGGGGTTTCAGGCAGTCAATTGCAAGGATTTCCACAACCGGCTGAGAGTCAGGAGGGAACGATTCAATATAATCGGCGACAACGTCGAGGGAGCTAGCAAGAGAATCTGCTGGTCCGGGGAGGTTTCGGATCGCTTGCAAAACCAAGCTCGAGTTTGATCTACCTTCGGCCAAGGCTCTCCAGGAAGGCAAGAAATATTGCTTGATTACAATACTCTTTTCCATCAAGTCAAATCCCATGAAATGCTGAGATTGAGGGACTTCGGCGGAACAATCCAATGCCTTGTTGTTGATTGTTTCTTCCGTTGTCAAGCGTTGCTGAAAGTAGCTCAATAGACCCAGATCAACTTCAGGCGCAAGTGGGAGGGCGTTCTGAAGCAATCTCGCACTGGATGTTGCGTTCATGGGGCTTGCAGCCGGTCCAGCAACCTTCCCAATCGGATCCACAGCATATCGCACAGTTGGTATATCTGCCGCATTGGACCAGCACCAACTCAGCTCAACAGGGGTATTGTCATCTGTCATGAAGCTTCTCCAGGCGGTGGGTGCTTCATGCCGACGGGGATGCGGTCCCAAAGACGCAGTAACTCCATCGCGGAAGAACTGCAGGTGGGTAGCCTGTGATTCGGGCAAGTAGCTAGCCATATCCAACATCTTGTGCAGAAGCGGTCCTATATCGTGATCCCATAACGCGCTATCTTGTCTCGTATACAGATCGTCCGCTGACTGTCGTCTTTCGCCGCTCCACCCACGGGGCTCGTGATCCGATAGAGTCTGATGAAAACTGATTAGGAGACCAGGAAATAGAGCTATATAGCAATAATAGGATCCCTTACTCGTGAGTGAGTGAGCCAATGGCTCTTTTTGACCAACGATGTACTATGGTTCCAGTGAGTCTCACATCAAGTACATGAAAATCCTCCTGGACTTAGGATGACTTACAGAAACGTAAGAATTGAGATAGCCATGCTATACGGGGTAAAATGGGGTGAACTATTGATGAATCATGGAGTTTTCTACCGGAACTGCTCTGCCATAGGATACATAAGCTACGGCTGGATATCTACGAACGACTAGTGCAGACAGCGGAGACGTCCCAACGGGGAGAATATGTGGAAAGTTTCTACCGGCGAATAAGCAGGAATAATCCTACGGTCATTATAATGAACCGAATGTGGGGTAGTGATCCAGTTGTCGCGACGGGCCCTTGGACTACCTTTTGAGACGAGTTCGTCGAAGCCCTCTAAGTTCATGCACTCCTAGCCGCGGCGTGGAATAGCGCTGATCACCAAATACAGTGTAGAAGCAATCACTTTATAATGCCGTGAGCAGGGAGAAGAGTCATATATAAGTCCAGAAACGTGCTGCTTTACTAACATATTCGACCCTTGAGAATCGTAGCGTTTTCACAGTCCAGGAAAAATTGTCTGCATAGCTTCTCGGAGAGCCAGAACGAAATCCCGGGTGACAAGTCCCTCCATATACTCTAACTCGCACAGGATGTCTGTTTCCAATTCTGTAAATTCTACTAGGAGAGGGAACTTGGCACCCCCTGCCCGTAAAGACATTTCTTCCACACGGACTCCGGGAAGGTCCAGACCACTCGAGACCAAATCTTCCCTCCTATGGTACACTACCAGGACTTGAAAGATCTGATCTTCACCAATGAGACAACGAATGTCCCTGAATGGAATCGAGTGAGTTAACGCGTCCTGAATTTGGGTTTTCAACGACCGCATAAGAACCAAAGGGCTCTGCGAGGCTGCCTCGGTCATCCGAACACGCAGCGGCAATATATCGAGAAAAACACCCAAAAGATCTTCAGTTCCGGGCTCAGTACGGTCGATATGTGGTATTGCGAGCACCATGTCCGTGACGCGCTTTACTTTGGCCATCGCCAGTGCGACAAGCATCACGTATAGCTCCATCGGACGCGTGGACGTGTTCCCTGGGTTGAAACTAAAAGTCTCGGATCGCCCGGTGCTAATCAGCTGGCTACTATCTTCAAATATAGGGCGTGGAAGGTCGGCCAGCTGCCCCTTCCAGTATGTAGCATCTGCGCCGCTGACCTGGGACGGCTGACGAGCTTTCCATTCGGCCCAAATTCTGTAGTCTGACATATTTGGTGGTATTGACCCCGTGTGGTCAGCCGCTGCTCCGTTCTGGATAATCTCGGCGTATGTAGCTCCTATCCTGCGGAAGAGCACTTGAACCGCGACTTTGTCGGTGATGGCGTGATGTTGAACAAGAACGATATCGACTCCACCAAGTTCCTGACAGAGCATGACCCTTGTCAACGGACCTGCGAAAAGGTCAAATGGACGGTTTACAAATTTAGCCACTTCAGCATCGCAGAACTCCCCTGCTGTGACTTCGCATCTAACGGACGACTGACTCCTTTTAACACGACCCTTTTCCATCCGGTAGTTGCTCTGCAGGATGGGCTCTTTCGCAATAACAGCAAGAACTGCTTTGTTAAGACTGTGGAGGCTCACACTGCCTTTCAATCTCACTTTATAAGCGACGTTGAATGATTGGGGAGATGAAGAGGAAATTGAAAGCCGCACGAATTCTTCCTCGAGATATGACACCTCTGTGAAGGGGGGCTCTATCGTTCGCCAAGAGGATTTGAATGAGCGATCACCCACTTGCGAAAGCTTCTTGCTCGAAAGACAGTCGTCTATCTGTTCACTCAAACGGGAAAGAGTCGTGTTCCATATAAACAACTTCAGCGGAAATCTGAACTCATACACTTGGGAGGCCTTCTGCGCAACTCTAATTTGCGACAACGAATTACCACCAAGAAGAAGAAAATCTGCTTCTGGATCGATATTCATATCAGCCGGTTGGCCCAGGATTTCCCGCCATATGGTTGCCAACATGGACTGAGTCCTTGTGAGAGGCTTTCCGCCCTTTGTCGTCGTGTAAATCGCATGCGATTGGAGAGCCTTCCGATCAAGCTTCTGGTTGGGCGTTGTGGGCAAGGCATGAAGCGCAACAATAGAGGATGGCCTGGTGTAGCTTGGTAACTTGGCTCGCAGTGCTTCTTGAATTCGACTCACGACGACGCTCTCGGGCTCGACGAACGCCACGATGTTGTTTCCACTCACGATGGCAGCCGCGCGGCGAACCTCGGGACTGACGACACGAATGGCATTCTCGACTTCCTCCAGCTCTATTCGAAACCCCCTGACTTTGACTTGGTTATCCACGCGGCCCAAGAATCGGGGCTCCATGTCTTCTGTCCAGACCGCTCGGTCGCCGGTGCGATACATGCGATACCCCCGTATGAAAGGGTCCGGTACGAAGCGGGATCCTGAGAGTTTTTCCATGCCCTTGCCAATGTATCCTTCGGCGACTTGAATACCAGTCAGGCAAATCTCCCCAGGAACCCCTATCGGGACTGGGCGGCCCCGCGTGTCGAGGATGTACACACCGACTCGGGGGATAGTACGCCCCAGTGTGACTTCTCTGCCAGACTGGAGTGGTTGAAAAAGGCAACCAATGGTGCACTCACAAGGGCCGTAGGAATTATAAACTGTCCGATTCGTTGCCCAACGGTCAGCCAGGATCTGTGGCACTGCCTCTCCCGCGAAGAGAATAGTGTCCAAGGTCGGGAAGTCATCAGGATTGCAGACAGAAAGGAACGACGGGGTTATCATTGTCCCATTTACACGAGAAAGATGAGCAAATGGGTTGTCTGGATCTGCAAGCACAAGAGTTGCACCATAGCACAAAGTGCCAAATATTTCTGCCAGATTGACATCGAATCCAGGTGAGAACATCTGCGCATGTCGTCTACCAGGGCGAGCATCCATTCGGGCAGGCTTGTATGACAGGTATGAGACTACCGATTTATGTGGAATACGCACGCCTTTCGGAGTTCCAGTTGAGCCTGATGTGAAGATGATATAGGCTATATCTTCTCCATTGATTGTGGTGCTCAGCCTAGGTGACTGTACCTTGACTGGTTTGGAGAGGAGTTCATGAAGTAAGAACTTCTCATTGCACACATCCAGAAAGCTGTTGTAACAAGACTCATTTGGGAAGACGCAGATTTTTGCTTGTGTGGAATCAACAATCATCTTCATTCTTTCGATAGGGAGCTTTGTATCCAGGGGAACATATGCAGCTCCTGCCTTGACAATTGCCAGGACAGAGACGACCCAATCAAAACTGCGGTCACTCAGAACCGCAACAGCGTCGCCGGGACGTGTACGGTCTGCAATGGCCCTTGAGACATAGTTCGTTAGCAGGTCTATGTCCCGGTAAGTGATAGACCTGTCAGTAGACTCGACAGCAACTGCATCTGGCCAGCGGCGCACTCCAATCTCAAAGACATCCTTCAGGTTTGACGGCCCAAAGTATGGATTCATGAGTGAAGACGAGTTATGAATCAGGTTCAAGAACTCGCAAGGATCCAAAAGTCTATCACAAACTTCGATAATGGTCACAGTCCCTGGGTCCAGCAGGGCGAGAAACAGGTTCTGAAAATGCTTCATCATCCGCTCAATAACTGGACGAGTATACATAGTCTGGTCGAACAATGCTTTAAGGCAGAGGCCACCATACTTCCGCTGTATCATGACTGTCAGCGGGAATTCAGGGACATCAGTCCGGCTGAACTCCCAACCACTGTTTGTGAAGCCTGGCAAATCATACTCCAAGAACAGCATTGTCTGAAAGGCACTGTTATGGTTTCCTGACGTGAGATCTCTCAATGCCTCAGCAGCCGTCCATTGATGCTCAGCAACTTGGTGCACAGCCTTGCATACATAACCCAAAAGACTTTCCTTTGTGTTCAAACCTGCGAAGCTCATGGGGAGTGGACATGCATTAAGCAATGGTCCCACGATCTTGTCAATTTCTGTCAAAGGAAAGTCGCGCCCTGAGAACACGGTTCCGAATACCAGGTCGTCTTGAGCGGTGTAAGACTTCAAAAGAAGTGCCCAGGCAGCGTATAACATAGTCGCAGACGTTACTCCGGCTATGCGACAAGTCTGCTCTATTCGTGGCAATGGAAGGTCGATGGCCAAGCTTGTCACCCCAGGATGACTTCCATCAGCCGGAGCTACAGGCTTTGGAAGGCTCAAGGACACGCCGTCGTTGATTCGCGACATAGCATCTTTCCAGAACTTCTTCCCTTTGCCACCAGCGTCTTCCAGATGCCGTGAGAGTAGTTGTGCAAATTGCCAGAATTGAGGAGGATATTCCAGATTTTCTCCTCTCAGAATTGCTTGAACCTCTTCAACAACTAATCCCATGGACCATCCGTCCACCAGACAGTGGTGAACCAACCACAGCAACACTGCCTTTGAGTGTTCGGATGCGCTCACCAAACGAAAAGAGTTTCGCGGACGGAACATTCCTTCTTCATCCTGATGATTAGTGGTCCGCAAAAGAAGAGAAGACTCTTCCTCGACAGCTGAGTCCAAATCCTCTGCCGACACACATCGCTCTCGCCAATCGAAGTTGCGTTGTTCAACTGGCTTTTGGACACCAGCAAGGAGGTCGAAAGTCGTATGGAAAACGGAATGCCTCAGCATAACTTGCTTCCAGGCGCGTCTAAACTTTTCATTGCGGTCCGGGTCAGGGGCCCAAGGGACAGAAACCGACACGAGCATGTAACTTGTCGCAGACTTTCGTATAGATGAGCGTATCATTCCCAACTGGGTTGTGGTGATCGGAGCATCAACAGCCAGAAAGTCAGGCGCAGCCTCAATGGGCGTTCTACCGCTGCTGGGGACAGAGACACATTTTTCGGCGAGCTGATCCAAGCCTCTTGATTCATATATGTCTGAAAAGGAGACTTGGAGACCACGCTGACGCAAGCCGGATACCAATTTGATGGCAAGCAAAGAATTGCCTCCCAACTCCCAGTAGCTACAGCTTGTGGAGATCGAGCTTGTGGGTAACCCCAGGGTATCTGCTATCGCACCCATGACTGCAGTCAAGCGAGTGCCATCGGCAAAGCAATCCTCATCAAATTCGGTCTCATTAGTGAATGGTCTCTGCAGATATGCTACGTCAATTTTGCCGTTGGGGGATGTTGGAAGTTCCTGGTATGCTGCTATGTGGTCGGGCACCAAAAAGGCATCATTCCCTTGGGACAGCCACCGTCGCATCTCCGTAACGTCCACGGCTTTCGGTGCGATGCATCCTATCAGCTTTCCTTTGTGCATGAACGCCGCCGCTGCTGTCACCTGTGGATAAGCGAGCAAAAGAGGAACTACATCAAGCTCGATATTGATCAGGTATCCCCGGTTCTTGGCGATGCTATCCTCACGACCACAGAATATAATTCCTTCTGGCAGCTTTTGACCACGGTCTAGAGTTCTGTATATCCTTTGGCCTCGCCATTGGATAAATCTTTCCGCTGTCAGCGCCTCATTCTTATAGTATCCGACAGCAAGGCCGGGTCCACTGATATATATCTCTCCATCATGCGATTCTTCCAGCTGGTCATTCAGAATGAATAAGTGCGTATCCGTCATCGACTCGCCCAGCGTAATCTTTTGTCCGGGGCGTACCTCGCCCATACTAGTGCAGATGGTAGCTTCAGTAGGACCATAGCAGTTGAAAATGCGGCGTTTGGGGCTCCACCATTCTTGCACAAGCTTTGGACTCGGGGACTCTCCACCCAGAAATATGGACCTCACGTTGAGATAATTATGGGCATCACCGAGAGTGCTAAGGAGAGATGGTGTAGCAGGTAGGATTGTACAACTCTTCACATCTTCGAACACGCTTCTGGGCTCAGAGAGAACGAGGTGGCAACCGTGGCAAAGACTGCTGAAGAAGACTCCCCACGCAGCTGTTTTGCAACACTGACTTAGCTGGGCGCTCATTTTTTTCTTTTTCTTACGGCTTGTAGGGGTTCTCATTGACTCACCGTCAAACGCAAGAGAGAACAGTAGCAGTACCCTATCGCTATGGGTGACACCCAGGTTAAATGGCATCCCCTTGTCGCTTCCCTGCTGCACATAATTCACGATGCATCGATGCGGAATCACAACTCCCTTTGGCTGTCCTGTCGTGCCAGATGTAAAAATAATATACATCCACGTATCCGGGTCCTGGTGCAAATCCAGACTTCCCCCCACTATCTCCGTTTGTGCGGTATTGAATGAACTATTCCATGCAGATTTGACCTCTTCCGCAGTTATCATCACAGATCTATCAATCTTGTGACTGACATCAGCCGTGAGAATCACCCTGGTCGGCTCTATGGCTCGTAAGACGGCGTTGATTCGGGCTTCGCCCCAGGAGTCGGCATCCATTGGCACATAGCATACACCAAGCCGTAGCAGCGCAAGGATAGCCGTTACACTTTCCAGACTCCTGGTCAGCAGGATGGGAACCGTATCCCCTGCACGCACTCCACGATCGAGGAAGACCGCAGCCAGTTTCGCTGAAGCGGTGTCGAGGTCTTGGTAGGTTAAGGACCTTTCGCCCTCCGAGACGGCGGTGGACAGTGGGCGTATATCCACATTTCTCTTGATGAAGCTCCATACCGAGTGTGATTCCATGCCTTTCGATTGATCCAGTTTGACAGACGTGCTGGTCTGTAGGGAGCTTGCGTGTGGCGCCATTGAATACCGTTAGTGGGAGAAATCAGCAGATAACGGGCAATCTCTAGACAACGAAGAATTGAATAGGAATGAGAGAAACAGTACCACTACCACCAGTCTCCTAGTTCCAGGGCTAATAACGTCCGGTCAATAAACTGTCGGTGGATAAGCGGACGATAGTCCGTCCGTCTTCTCCTTAGTCCCACTACATCCTAGACATGTAGAGCCCTGCCATTGCCTGAATCCCTGTCTGGTTTTCTTCCGGCCATTAAGCGCACTCTGGCAACTGTTAAGACAATACGCCAAAATTCCCGAGGAACACATACCTGGTCGATAACATCCTTTTATACCGAACATATCTACCGCCATAATAAAATAATCATCCCGCTAATTGGTGTTTTGCGCAAGGTAGTACTGCACCCTCAACCGGAATTTGTCCATTGGGCTCGAATTGACCCAATCGACCTCTATTAGATGGACAAACACAGATTTGCTGGATAGACAAGTAGAAACATGGATTAAGACCAGTGGTTTGACATTGACAGTGGTTTCAGTGTCCTAGGATTGCAATCTTTCACTAAAAGGCTTGGCTACACCTAGGCATGTGGTGCCTATTAGCATAGCAATCTACCGGGGAGAAGTCAACGCTAAATGTAACTATAACTGGCGGGAGTGATTTTCTCTATATCTCCTCAGCTCAGTGCAGCTTCCTAAAGCAGAGAGGGGAATTGAAGTCAGATTCATTTCTTTCAGTAGGGCTAATTTGGCAAAATTTCAGCTTGAAGATACTAGTATGATACTTTAGGTAATCATGACCAATCTTCATACATTTCATCCATCACATTCCTCAGGTCTTGTACATCAAATAGCCTGGGCTTCTTTCTGTCTGGTATATCAGAAACTGCTTTATCGACGTGATTCCTCAACCTCGTAACAACATCAGTTCCAATTTCGGAACGATTTCCATTGCGCCATCTGTTAAATATCAGCAGGGGTAGCAGGCCGGAGGGCAGATAGTCAGATCTGCGACTGAACAAGGTCAAGATCGGGTTATAGTGTGCTGAGGAAATATCCACCACCTTGACAGACGCCATAATGTCCGAGTAACGACGGCCATTCTCCCTATACGTAATCCCAAGAGTTTGCAACATCTGCGGAGGGGAGAAGTCGACAGAGCTGAATGGAGACAACTCATCACCAGGATCAGTACATGGAGGAAAGAAATATTTCATCCTTGTCAGAAGCGGCAGGTGCAGAAAGTCCGGTAGGACAAGGTACTCCAGAAAAGGGAATGCACTGAGAATCTTTCGAACGATATGGGCATTGTAGTACCAAAGGGCAAGGACCTCCTTGAAGAAGAAATTTTTCATCGATCTGATGGCAGCCTCCTCCAACAGCTCGCTATCAGCTGGACTCCCGCCGTTCGGACGGTGACCAGCGCAGTCCGCAATCTTCAGGCCTGCGGCAATGCATTCATCTACAAAGGTGTCCACCATCTTCTGCTTGGTCGTCGCATATCCCATGCCCCCAACAGCACCTCTCATCACGTCCATTAGATCGTCGCATTCCCAGGTAATGGCACAGATATAGTTGCGTGAATCCACAGAGGACTTTGCCAGATCCTGCTGGAGAGAATCGAGCTCGGGAAGGGAGTACGGATGACAGAGTTCCACCATGCAATCCCTGAGCAGTGGAAATGTCCGAAGGCCTTCTTCGGATAAGAGACGGGGAAGTTTTAGGACTAATCCATCCCTTGTTGATTTCCCTCGAAAGACAAGGGAACGGGTAGCGTTGGCCCACGAGCTGCGGACGCCACGAATGCTCTTTGTTTTGCGGACAATCTGGCAAAAGGGCAGGACCCGACAGGACAGGCGCTTCTGGATAGAACTGTCCGTGTAGACTTCGTTTATGAGAAGGATGTTCAAAATCGATTGGAGGATTTCCTGGGGAAATGATAAAAGGAGGCCTGGCGATTGGTCTGTTGGCTGTGGTGAATACACCATGGTTAATGTATCTTTGTAAGCTTCAATCATAAAACCCCACAACTAAAAGGATGTCTAGAAAATTATTCCTAGTGTAGTGTCTCTGATCGCGAAGTGTTGCGGAGCGCCCCTATTATTAGCCACAAATGGAACCAGGCAACTACTAACTAATGCTAATTGGCTTACAGTGTTCCAACCTCTCACTTTGATTGGCTAACTGGTCTGGGGCTTCTCTATTCATTGGTCAGCAATGCAAACCATCCATGACGATAGGAGGCCTGAATACCTTAAATAACAGGCCTTCAGACAACTATGCTTAAGTCTACGCTCAATTCTATGTTTGGCCTATGATTAGACCATACGGCGTATTAGAACCCCTACCCAAACATCTGTGATACCTGTATGAGACAGGTATCTTGATAACACCGCCAGATTTAAGGGTTAAAGGTTGGCATCTGCTGGCGATCAATGTAATCCACAGAAACTACATATAACTATTGTTGTGTTCCCTGCTGTGTTGACGACCCTACTATCATCCCTACTAGCTAGAGATGGCTGTCTGGACACCTTTCTGGTTGAGTGGTTTGACATATGACAACTATCGTACCCGAGGTAGATAGACACTCGCTTGTTTGTCAGCTCGTAACTGAAACAACGCTACTCCATAATCGAGCAGGTCGTAATGTGCCATTGTGTAAGCATAGATTGTTTACCCAGGATGATTGCATTACGGATGAAGTTATAGATTACATGAAAGACTGATATACCCCACCTCGCCGCCCCTCTATCCTTCTGCAGCAACTATCTCGACAATTACCTTCAGCCCATTATGACACCGAGACTGCCCTGTCCTGAACGCAACAAAAGAATAATCAAAAATATCCGCAGGAACTTATGACAAGTTAAAAGCAATAATTATTCCTGCACAGAAATTGTTGACTAGAATGCTTGTTCTCAACGCGCTGACGTTGGGGCCAACGATACCAACGATTACAGCGTTACTATTGGATCGCTCGTGTAGGAGTCATAAATTGTGCTTACGCTTCAGGGAGATAAATATAAATGTTCGCCCAGGCTGAGTAGAACAGTGTGAAGTTTCCCTCATAGCGCCCTCGTGTAGCATCATAACACCAGATACTTGCTCTTTGAAAAATGGCTACTCCTACTCCTACTACCACTACTGGCGGTTGTTTCTGCGGAAAGGTCCGCATTGAATATAGCGGTCAACCCATGACGGTGGTTGGTGACCTCCACAAATGAATCAGCTTGTCCGTGACCTACACTTACCCTGCTTTCCTCCAGGGACTCTGCCACTGTTCCGACTGCCGGAAAATCACCGGCTCTCTCTACTCATACAATTTCGTCGTCAAAAGGGCCGACCTGAAAATAACCGGGAGCCCAAAAGAATTGGCCAAAATAGCGGACAGCGGAACACATATCAAGAACTATTTCTGCGCAGATTGTGGTGTGTACTGCACAGGACTATATAACTGGGTTTGGAAAGATATCATCTGATGAGATCGCCTAGGCACACCGCTCTACGGGCTGAGAATGAACTCTGATGGTGTTCCGAGCGAGACGACCGTTCTCCGAGCTGGAATATTCGACGATATCGGAGTTCTGAATCAGCGGAGGCCTGAAGCGGAAATATTCACCAGCGGACGTGTATCGTGGATGAGTCCTATCGAAGGGACTGGTCAATTTGATGGCATGGTGCCTCTGCCTTAATTCGATGGTCGAGCTTGTAAGGTAAAGCTGGACTGAGCTACAGACAACCATGCTGAGAGCAGACTTATCTTTTGCATCAGCGAAGCCTGGGGGGGATGCAGAGGTCAATTCTTATGCAAGGCGTACGAGGCAGTGTCAGATGTAGGCAATCACGGCGAGACAGATGTATTTATTGACTTGGGCTACACCAGGTGGTTAATACCCTGTCTGTTTGGACCCAGCACTCTTACAGTTCCAACGCTTAAAGATCTCGGAGCGAATAGATGCAGTCAATGTAATAAGAGTTGTCGCTTATCTACACACGGTGGAAGCCTTGCAATGCGTGTTCAACATGTTGTAATCCTCCAAGGTTTACTGTAGATGATCGCGTGGAGAGACGCAAACAGCACAGCGCACCCCTTTTAGCTCACTGCAACAAGCGTATCTGTGTTGCTTTGCTGGCGGAAGTCAAGATGGAACTTTTTTGATTGTTTGTCGTTGTTCTCCTCCGCGTTTACTCGGAAGCATCCGACGGCTTGAAGGAGGCACCGACGCCTGCTCATTTCTCCACTCTTGTGTTCAGTCCATCCCTGGATCCCCGCGTGGCGTTTCTTGGCGACGCTTGTTTTCCCTTATGGGCTGAGGTCGAGGATGGTCTGGCGCGACTCGGACCAGGAAGTGTAGCCTTCATAGCAGTGATTGGGGAAGTAGCGACACGAGAGTGGGTGTGATGGGCTGGGGAATCGCGAACGACTTCCGCAACACCAAGGAGCACATCTTCGCTGGCAGGCATGTCTCACAGCTTTGGGGCGTATCTAGAGAGGTACCCCAAGCCACCAGCGCGACTGATACCGGTATGCAAATTAGGAAAGAGTGACACAAGAAGATAAAGAAGACTTACTCATCAAGTTGTTAATGCCAGGTCGCAGTACGCTGGCGCAACCTGACCGTACACTGTGCACCTTAATTAGCCGACAGACAATTTGCACACGCGCCCTTATGCAAAGCGTTCCTTTGTGTTGTGGTGCAGCCACGCAGGACTGCATAGCTCCTCCACGACCTCAGCTCGCGTCTGGAGGAAGGACGGCAGAAGCTTGCCTGGTAGCATTTAGCGGCTTCTCAACCCGGTTCACCCCGAGTATCGAGGACCAGTCAACGTCGCGCACGTTGTCCGTCAAGAGAGGTCAGCTAGAAGACAGAATGGTTTTGAGCCTGAGGCTAGTTGCAAATGATGGTGGAAGCAAATTGAATTTCGCCATAGCAGAAAGAGACAACAAATTATCATAGGTTCAGAGATCGAGAAAGCAGCATAAAAGCATCTTCTCATTCAGCCGGGCTGCGGGATAAAAGCCGCGCGCTCAACGCACCAAGCGTTTCAGCATAACAGGTGACCGCATATTGAGATATTGCCTTACACCTCGAGATCGTCTTCGCTATCCTCGCCCTGGTAGTCCGAGTGTTGATCATAACCGGGTAGAGAGCTTGCTGCCTGTGGCAGGTGTTGGTTTAAGGCTACACGAGCTGAATGCGTATTTTTCTTCCGATTCTTGAATCGATCCCCCTCATCGTTAGTGTAACCTCCCCCAACGAAGTATTGCAGTTCCTCAGGCAGATTCTTTTGCAATGATGGTTGGAAATGGAGGAATCTTCTAGGCTCTCGGGCGATACGTATGTACTCAACGCCAGTCAGCCAATCCACAAATGTGTTGGCTTTGTATGGGGCCCATGGGCCATCGTTGGTAGCATAGGTCGTGATCCACCGATTTCCTTCTTCTCTAGTCACAGTGATTGCGAGACGGGCACCTGGGTCACTATCTCGAGCCTGTGTGGCCCAGCAATTTGGGTGTCTTTCGCCGGCTGGCTTGAGCTCCGCCCGAACTAGCAGATCGTGTTTTGCATCCAGCTGTCCAGGCTGAGCTTTAACACTTGCGATAACATACATGGGCAACATAGCAGTAATCGTGTCCTCTATTCTCCTACACCCTTTATAAAGGCGGCCGCCGTTGAGTAGTTCCATCCTTGTTTTGTATACCGGAACAAGCACGGCATTTGCAGGAGGACGCTTTTGCGAGAGACCTTGAAAGGGGACACCGTATGAGATTTCCCTGGTCTTTTCCAAAGCCTCCTCGTCCATCTCAAGGAGGGCATCTGGGTCTTCAGCGAGATCCGTCTCTACTTGCAGCACTCGCTTGACCTTGGCTTCTTTGGCAGCTTTGATGGCGGCGTCTTCCTGTGGATCATCGGACAGGTCTTGGTCGATAGCATTTACTGCTTCTTCCAACTGCTCCGCAGTCACCTCAAGGTAACCATTGGGGTCATCAGTCACAATTTCCTCGGGGATGTCATCAGGGTCTTCGTCGAGGTCCATCTCGGCTTGCAACACTTGCTTAACCGTGGCTCCTTTGGCAGCTTTGATGGAAGCGTCTTTCTGTGGGCCATCAGAAAGGGGTTCGTCGAGAGGATTTGCCTCTTCCAATTGTGCGTCTTCGGTCGCCTTGGCAGCATCGAGATGCGCATTCGGATTGTCGGCTTCAATGTTGTATTTGCTTGTAGATTGCATCTTCTTCGTATACGTATGATCTGGGAACCATTTCGGGTTAAGCTCGACAAGTAAACTCTTTACGTGGTCAAGCTGCTCTTTGGTGTATACACCCCTTCTTCTAGCCAAACTCGCAGTCACTGCTTTCTTCCGAAAAGTTGTCTTTATGTCGCTCGGCCGGCATTGAAGTAAACTCATGACCATCATAAGGGCTTCGGCCAGACTTGATTTTTCTTGGAGGCGAAGAATATCTTCTTCCTTCTCAAAACCTTTGGTCCCAAGCCAAAACCGAATGCTGGAGCTGAGGGAGTCGACGGTAGTCGCTGGCCGTCCTTCTGCCCTTGCAATTCTGTCGTCATTAACCAGTCGGACTATCTCAGTGCATGTAATTGCTGCATTCTGGAATCCTGGCCAGATTCCTGGTGTTCCTGTGATGAGTGCTGCAAATCTGAATAAGAGGCTAATCTTTCGAGCTTCCCGCCATTTATCGTCTAGAAGGGCTGGCAATGCAGCAGGTGAGCAGGCATAAATCCTGGTGACACATTGCCCATCATGCTCAAGGAACATATCAAAGCTGATTTCTTCAAGATTGACTGAAATTTTGGGGGCATCCTCAGGTACCAGAATATTCTTATCAAAGGATCCACACATGATGATCACTTTTAGCTGGCTCTGTTTGATGAGTCCATGGTTAAAGTTGCGGAGAATTTCAAACTCCTCTGCACTCATGGATCTGATTCTCTCCTGCAACAAGGAAGAGACATCATATAAGCGCAAGTTGTGAACCCAAATCAAGCAATTTGCATGATTAAATCCACTTTCCTTAATACCCCAAGGAAGTAGACTAAAGATGGAGTCCTCTTTATTACTCCCTGGTAGGACATGATCAAGCACTATACCAATATATGCATTGACATTCCCATCTGGCGGTATCATGGCAGGAATCTCATTAAGTCCAAGGTCAGTGCAAACTCTGACAGCAGTGAGCGCTTTCAGCTCTCTTAGATCAACTTGGTGATTGTCATGAATTTCTCGCAGTGCACGTCCCTTGAAATCGGGAGGTTGAAGATGTGAGAGATCAGGTTCTGCTGCAATAGCAGAAGCAAGGGCACAATTGACGTCCTCAAGTCTCATCATCTGCTTTGGTGGTTTTGTGAAGGCTCTGCCTTCTTTCTCGTTTCTTTCCTCCTTCGCTCTCTCCCGTGCCCGAAATGCTGGCCAATTCCGGATTTCAGGGTCTGAGGAGCAAGCTACTTGCTGAGAGAAATGATGGCGTGCCTCTACTCGTATATTTGATCCTTGAAACAGTGGTGAGACAATGTTGAGTCCCACACCTGCGTAAGGGCTGCCCACCACTTCTCCAAAGATTCTTTCTAAGGTTGCTGGAGGGAGGGATTGAAAAGCAAAGCACATGCCTACTTCAAGAATATTCTGGGCAATAAGCTGAATCTCTGGTGAATCAATGCCGATATATGGTATTGACCATAGCCGGATGAAATTTGCTGACCTGAAGTAGCCCCCCTTCCATATAATATAGTAATGTAAGCTGTCACGCTTACGATCACGTATATTTCTGATATGTTGGCTTATCCTCAGCATAGGATTGTTGGACTGGCCAACATAAGCTCGCCAGTAATCTTTGTTTCGATCGTCGAGAACAAAGTCTAGATAGCCACTGTTGGTACGCCACAGGTCCGCTCCATCTCTGAGCTGTTTCTCACGAATGAGTTCGAGTCTAATCAGGTCAGATCATTTGTAAGATTAATGTATGCTATAATAGTGGCATTACATACCGTTCAGCGGTTATCTCCTTCCCTTCCAGGTCCCTGATTTCTGGACAGATACCATTGAGGAGCACTTTGATAAGATCCTCTTTCCCCGTGGAATTGATGACATTTTTATACGGGATGTGCCTCATATTCACATCGCTTTGATTCAATAGATAGTCCATGACGATACTGAGTGCTAGTTCGAGATCTGGGAATGTGATTTTTCGCGTGATGAGATAGGCGTTCTGAAAATACTTAGCATCATACTAAATGGGGGATTATGGTAGCCTTACCTGTTCGTCTTCCTGTCCCACTGCCGCTCGTGAATCGGACGTTGGCAGCCTATAATTAGTCGAAAAATTCCCTGTCTGTGTCTGAGGGTTCTGCTGCGTAGAAGCCCGATGGTCTGTCTTTGAGCTCTGAGACTCGCGCGGTAGAGGATTTGTTGGATATATGGACCTTGCACCTGGATGCCTTCGCGGTATAGGGGTTTTAGCTATTTCCTGGTAGCGATTCCTTCTCTCAGGGCAATCGGATTTATGTCCTTTCTGATGGCAGGTTTGACAGACAGGACAGGTAGGGCACGCATCTATGATGTGTCCCTCCTCACGACAGTACGCGCAAGGAAGATATGGACATCTCAAAGTAATGTGCGGTCCCATAGCACCACACCCTTCGCAGGCAGGGGGATCTGGATTAAACATTTTGATGACCTATTTGATGAGGTAAAATGATAGAATCTTAGAACTGCGTTGAGTTGTTCAATTAAGATGACACCGTTGTCGTATGTGTAGGAGGAAACAGGAGGACGAAGGAGTATAAGAACTCTTGTGTAGCCGGTCTCAGTGAAGATTCAGGCTTCAAGGCAGATGACCCTGACTAACAGAATCTGTAGGAGGATTCTGGTAGTTCTAAAGGATACTTGCAGCCGTACATTATCCAATTATCATTGATCAACTCTAAGAGCTGGCTAGGTCTAGATCTTCTGCGAGGAGCAAACATACTCCAACATGCCCAATAGCAGATGTTTTACTCATCATCATGTCTAAGCATGAGCCTCGTCTCCCTAGACACCGGCAGCTGGTGTTGTCTTTCTCCCTCTCCCTCTATCTCTCTCTGTGTGTATGCTCGTGTGTATAGTGCTAAAAGCCATACACAAGACCACCTTAAGATTCAATCTGCTACTAGATGCCACACGCAGTCTTAAACTTATCAGGAGAATCACAAACTATGTTTCGGTAGGGTTGCAGATGACCTGAAATTCCACATGCATCTACAACATCACTATGTCTCTTAACACCTGTGGCTTCCCGAAACACCCAAGTACGCAGCCCAGATACCAACATCTAATGAGAGATTGCATACTGGTCGCTGATACGGACCGTCTGTTTGTATGTAATAATGTTTTTTTTTTTTTCTCTTCTCTCTCAATATTTCAATCCCTGGTCCCTACCATCACTAATCAGCTCGTGCCTGCAGCAAAAGTCAATACCTTTCATCGAATGGGGAAATGGTCATGAATCATGTATATAGTTTGAGAGAAACAAACATTTGTCAACTGCTCCTTGGACATAGCTAGTTGAATGTTTGTCTGAATTGAATTGCGCCACTGTGATATTTGTTGCATACACAGCTAGTACAACGGACTATAGCTGCGATCCATATGCGGACTTTTGGTATTTTTACAATGATTAGCTACCCCAACTATCCTTAAGTTCTTGCCAAAGAAAGGCATCGAGAGTTTCATGTTGGGATGTAAGAGTTTTGCTTCATACCTGGATGCTTCTACTGTGTCGGCATTGTCAGTTGTCAGTTAGTTGGGAAGATTAATCACGCTAAATAGTCCTGTTGCGTTTCTCTTTGGTAGATGTCGACATCAAATGCTAAAAGAATTTTAGGGTCTACAACATCTTAAATGACATTCTTATATTACAATGGTGATGGTACAGCATGTGCGTTACTTCTTTATTGAGACGTGGATTGATAGAAGTTGAATCAAGCTCTGAATTTGAGCACGCAAGAAGCGGACAAAAGCAAAGCTACAAAACAGTGCCACCCCTGTAGAGGAACCTTTCCAGCTCTGATTGCGACAATCGCAGGTCAACAATGTCTGTCAACTTTGTCGGGAGTGAACAAATTTCGACACCTTCAGGTTAGGTGACTATTCAAATGAAGTGGTGAATAAAAGGGAGAGTAAATTTGAATTTCAAATGACAAGGACACAATTCAAGCATGACCTAGGGAATGGTTATGATTCTTTAGTCCAGAGACACGATTCACAACATGGAGGTCAGTATATTGGCAAAAACCAAGAACAGGCATTACTCGGCCACCTTGCCGCAATTGCGAACTATTGAGCTACGTTTGTCAGATAATAGCAAACCTGAATAATATATATGAGGGGCAAAAAAATGAGTTATCGTTTGGGTGTACTAAACACATGGTACTGGGTATCCTTAATTTAGGGCAGTAGGGTATCTACTTATCCTAGGAAGGAGACCCTCAAAAAGGGCAAAAATAATTAAGGGCAGGTTTCACTGAAGTAACATTCCAGAAGCGACCATTTAAATGGAGTAAGTAAAAAAGAAGGGAATATACGACAACGGCGCGATCGAGCGCGATTCAAGGTCCTCGTTATGATCTCTTGAGTCGCGCTCGATCGCGCCATCACATGATTTCCTATTCAAAAATAAAAAAGTAAAAAATAAAAAATAAATATCGCCAGGTACGAAGGGGTTCTCCCAGCAGTAGAAAAAAAAAGAAAAAGGAAGAAAGAAAAGAAAACGACAAGGCTGGGATTTGAACCCAGGATCACGAATGAATTTGATGATCTTGAGGTTATAAGATGGAGATGCAAAGCCTTCCCCTTTTCTCAAACCTATTCAAGTCAAACGCCTTAACCACTCGGCCACCTTGCCTGTTGTTGAAAAACTGAAATTCGAGGTGAATAATCTTGACCAAAAGAATTCACTACTCTGTAGAATGTGGATTTAGCCCGAACTAGCGCCAGTTTTTAGTATGATTGCGGCCATGTGTCATCTCTACTGGATCAATTACCTGCAGGTTAGAGTCCAGAGACACCGTTGATGACGCCCTGAACCAAGGTCACTAACAAAACGGTCAGTCCGACCCTCCATGTCGTATAAGTTCGGGTTAAGCTCGAGTAAAATTCAACTCTATGGTGGTGGCGAATTTCTTTTCTCTTGCACATAGTGATAAGAGGGATCAATGGCTGATATTTCAATAACAGGCAAGGTGGCGGAGTGGTTAACGCGTCAGCCTCGAATAGGTGTGAGATAAGGGGAGGCTATGCATCCCCGTCTTATAACCTCCTTAGCTGATTCCTTAGGGAGCGCCGGTTCGAATCCGGTCCTTGTCGATTAAAAAAGAGAGATGATCCTCTCCTTCTTTTTTGCTGCCGCTAACCCAAGTCGGCCCTTATGCCATAGGGGCTTTTCTCATTCGCTTTTTCTTTTTTTTTTTTTTTTTTTTTTTTGGGGGTAGCTCCCTAGTTCCTCGACCTAGCAATGTAGAAGATGTTTTTCGTATAGGAAATCATGTATGTGGTAGGCCTGATCGCCTCAAAAGTGGCGCTCGATGGCGTCCTTGTATTTTTCCATTTTCCCCACTTTCTATTCGGCACGAGCCGATTTTGTGACGATAAGATTCTAGACCTTGTCAGTGTTTTTTTTTAACCGGATTTTGAATGTCCTCCCTCTTAATGTTTAATCTAGACTCTGAATTCTACAATAGGCAAGGTGGCCGAGTGGTTAAGGCGTTTGATTCGAATTGGATGTTGATTATCATCATCCCGAATATCAAATTCATTCGTGAGCCGGGGTTCAAATCCCCGCCTTGTCGCTTTTCCTTTTCTTTCTTTCCTTTTTTTTGGTNAGAATATTTTCAACAGGCAAGGTGACGGAGCGTTTGGAATGTCGTAGAGAGATTGACGACTGAAGGCCAGAAAACTCAATTAGTCGCCTTGACAGATGCAGGACCATGTGGCATAGCACTGAGTGTGGAAGTGCTTTTTCTCTGGTGAAACTATTACACTAACATAATTATATAAATACAACATGGTTTTTACAGTTGATGGGTGTCCACTTTGTTAGGAATATGAGGACTGGAATGTCGGGTGTGAGTATATATATATATATATATACATTTCCCCAAATAAAAAGCACAAGCGAAGGATTTTCGCCTACTCGGACACATGAATCAGCAGGTAGTTAAGATCAAAAACATGTATACTTGATAGTGTCGATGTCTATATACTTAATGGATTTGATGTATTTAATAAAAGAATCACTCACTGCCTCCTTCATGCTTACAATGGGAGATGTCGTTGAAGCGAATGTTAGGTAGAGCTGCATCTCTGGGACGACTAGCAAAATGCTTTCCCGTTTTGGTTGAATAGTGTTCATTCTTGACATAAATACCCCAAGATGGGGGTTCGAAATGCGTCGAGACAGCACTCCACGAATTCTTTCTACCCTCTCTTCTTCTGACCATGATCGCTCTTTTATTATGACCATCGCAGCAACTAACTGTTTGGATCTCACCCACGCTCTAGATATTTGGCTAACTTTAATACACCCTCCTGCCCCATGACTGCGGATCCTCAAAACAAAACCAACTCTTTCTTATGGCGCTAAATCATCATCAACTGATATAGCAGATATGATTTCCCTCCAACCGCTCGCAATACGTAGAGGACGGCTTGCTATCAAACGCGACCAGGACTCTTAGCAACGCTGAGCAAGGAAAAGCAGGAGGATAAATCGTTTTCGAGCCTCGACGATGGCCCGCTCGCGACAGGCTGTTTGGGACCAAGGATACGCACACTTACACGCCTTTCCGTTCCACCAACAGTTCGAAAAACTGCCACAGAACAAAGCTCGCTTATCATATTCCGGTGAAATTCTACTTCTTCCACTGTTCGCACCGACCGTCCACTTCAATGCCCCGACGGTACAGAGCAATGGCGGAAGGTCGGACTGAAGAGCTGACAGGCTTTGCCGCCGGTTTACCATCGCGACGCCATGCCCGTTCCACGTCCCGAATAATGTCGAGAAGCTGCACACATCATTACTCCGTGCGGGTTAGCGGAAGCTTCACTTCCTGCTGCTGCGCGGCTTAGAGAGCACCGCGCCTGTGGCGGGAAGACTGAGCGACATAATGAGCGAATGTCGACCGTCGTCAGATCCCGCTCAGGAATGAGGTTTTTCATGCATGCGCTTCTCACGAGTCTAGCATCCCCGAGTCGCTGCCTCGCTGGTCATCATCATGAACTCTTTTGCGCGAGGCACGGTCTGTTGTTCCTGATATTCTCCATGACAGGGTACATATCTGGATCACTACAGGGCGATGAGATGCCCACATTCCTGCAGTCATAGCCGATGCGGTGCCATGTGCAACCCACCCCCAGTAGCCGTCCTTCATAGTGGGATTGACTAGCCCGAATATGAAATCTCCTGGACATGTTTGATAGAGTGACTGGATAGCACAATATTATGTTGTTCCACCAATGGGTCCTCCCAATCGGCCCCTTCCACACGTTAAGTTGCTGCAGCTCCACTAGACTATGCAAAGACTGGCAGCACTCAGTGGTGCTGCAGAGAATCTATGCTGAGTTGAATCACATAGATGACTATTAGATTGTCGACATGGTGAGACTATGATTCTACAGACGGTCCTTGGGAAGTTAAAGAGATGTTAGACGACATTGTATGTGTTTATGAACCATCCCTCTCAGGTTTGATGCTAACAGGGATAAAAGATTACGATTGACCAACTTTGAAAGTGCCATCAGGACGTCGTCATGGCAATTTGGAGCCGTTGAGGACAGATTATCGGAGGGAATCATACTCTGGCAATTACAGTGGTAAGAGCCTCTTAGTTTCTGATGGATCATCCAGTCACTGAAAATGGAGTATAGGCACTGGCCTCGACCGAAGAGGGACTCAATGATACCGTCACGCGCATTCATGATCGCCAGCCAAAGACGCCTGTAGAAGTGCGCAAAGAATGCTTGAAGCTTAAGGGTTTCCTAGACTAGCGCATTGAAGTCACTGTATGCCATCCAAGCTGCCTAGCCTCTAGATATGCATCGAGGATAAGTTTAAAGACTCATCCGAGGTTGCATCCTCGATTGGGTTGGCCCAAATGCTCTGGATGCTACTGACATGCTCCAGGTCAGTGGTCAGGAACATTCCAAGGCTTTGTCAACGTAGGCGCAGACTACCATGTGGTTAGCTTTACCCACTGTGCGGAAGAGGCCATGGGTGATTGGAACCTTCATATGCTCTGCATCTTGCGCAGGAAGGTTGTATGGGTTGTCATCTCAAAGCTTTTACTTATCGGTGTATTGGATTCCCTAGAAACAGGGACAGCGCTTTGGACTGACTGACTAACCGACGGTGTTGCTGGACGCATATAGATTATCAAGGCAGCCATTTATGTTCTGAATAGTTCCAGCAACATGGCCGGTGCAATCATCATTCGGGTAAAAATTGACTGAGTATTGGTCATCATGGACATTGTCAATTTAACCGAAAAGCGACGAGGCAACACCCTCATTTAGCTTGTTATATGCGCTAGATCCTACAAACTAGTGAATTCCACCTTCAGCGCCTCTGCAGCGTTCGCCTGTGTACTCAGAAATGCAGTATCCAAGGATTGTCGCAAAGAGGGCTGAGTAAACCCAAGAACGAAACATCTCGTCAGAATGGGTACCTGACGAAGAGGAGAAAGCAGAGGAGATGATGGTGCTGGAGATTATCGAGAACTGACCGGCTTTTAGCGGCTCTATGCTGCAAGCGCAGGGTGCGCTTCTACTTGGTAATTCCTCGGTTCTTCTATATTAGCCCCTCCTGTTCGATGGGTCCTGGGCTCTGGTCATAACGCTAGGCCATGCCATACGGTTACATCGCTTGTTCTCGCATTCTTGCTAGGCGTCCTAGAGCAGTAGCTTAGCGGCTCCGCAAGGTCCACTGGAGCCAGAACGAGCTGGGCGTCGGATCGAGCGACATATCCGGTGAAATGAAAGGGGCAGCGAGTCGGGCTGAAAGCCAAGGCACAGTTGTCTGTGGGGGCCGGAGTGAAAGAAATGCGGCGATGAATGCAAGATATGTCAAGACTATGGAGGAAGAGGTTGCGACGACGTATTGGGGCGCCAACCCAGAAACGGCAAAACTAGTCAGGTCTAATAATTCACAGGTCCCAATATTACGGGATTTATCTAAGATTAGAGGAAAGAAGCTTTAGAGACAAGATCCTTCTATAAGCAGATATCTAGTCTTTTTTAAAATGACTCTGGTCCGACCTAATAGCAGAGCTACTATCGGGATTTATAAGTGGGAACAATTGTGGGAGTGAGTTGAGTTCTCCTTTTGCCCCACAAAAGTCGATAGCTACCTATACATAACTCTTATCGGGGTTATCAGGATTACAATCTCTGCAACAGGGCGCTATGTAGCCGAGGCTAGTTTGTTAGAGTACATGGCTCTAAATTTTAGATGGTTTAGGGTACCCGAACTGTCCAATGTCAATACTGCGTTCGTTCAGCCTCAGGGATAGTTCATGTTGTTTAGGATCCTACGCATTTTGACTACGCTGCGATCCTTCTACTGGAAAACTATATATAGGGGTCAGGCCCTACTGTAGATAGCTTTCTCATGTAACGCTTCCATACTTCAATACACAGACCGTCCTTACTGGTCCAGTCTACAGTCTTCCGGATATCTTGACTCGTTCTCTGCTACTAAACCTATTTATCCAGCCGCAGCTTTAGTAAGTAGATCCTACTACCCTGCTCATCTTTGCAAAGAAATATTTGCTCATAGGTCTAAAAGGCTCAATATGCGTGCAATTCTCTCAAGCACAGTTCTGCTTGCTCTCTCATTTCTCGGTCTCGTCCAGGCGGATGAAATCCCCCGCTTGGTGGACGCGACAGCTTCTGATGGCACAGGCTATTGCGGAGATGCCAGCTTTATCAACCAGTCCTCGGGCGGCTCGCCGTTAATTTCCGACTGTGAGGCGTTGCGCCAGCAAATTCGCGACAAACACCTTGCATATGCATTTGCAGGCTACGGGAACAATCATTGGGTTCCTTTCGACAGCTACGGGTCCTGCGTCATTGGTTTCTCCTGCCAGGGCCCGTATGGCGTGTACTGGTGTGAAGTCGATTCTAGGGATGCCGCGGATCTAATTACCTCGAGCATTGAGAAGTTCAGTTGGAACGGCAGGGTCGGTGCGAAGGGCCAAATGCCGTGCGACGCTAGGGATGGAATCCGGCATACGACTTATTGGGCTGTATACCATACTTGATACTTTCCAAGAGGCAATTTGAATGTAGGGTTGTGGCACGGGTTAGACCTGCTTCTCACTAAATGGCCTTGCCATATAGCCTACCTACCCCTATTTCTACCAGTGTCTAGCTTTTTGTAAACAGCATGTTGGCCAAGTCAGTATTGGACCAATTTGGCCTCAGCCCTTCACAGGTTGGAGAGTAAACGTAGACCTATAGATATTAAACCAGATGAAAGATCGATCCGACAAAAGCGATGAACGCGTGCAAAGGCTCTATGCCCAAGACCTATCTGGTGTGGAGGGTCCGCAGGTCGAGGATCAAAAAAGAATCAAGCGTCAGGAGTTACTGGAAGGTCCTCGGGCTGGTATACTCGCAGACGACGGGCGGCTAGTTGGCCGAGGGTGTCCTACGCGACGTTCGCAATATAAGCGGCACGTTTGAGCCTTGGACGATGGCTGACGCGCGCAGTGGATCCCGGCCTACTGTACTCCTACCTACTCTTTGGATAGCTTGAAGGAGAAGGCCGGCTTCTTTGTCGCGGACCTCGCCGTGCTCCTGAATTATCACTGGATTCGCAACTAGGTGCTATTCGCCTACGAGCGGCTGCGTATATTGCTTGCGGTGCACCTTATCCTTGCTAGTGCCACCGCGACAAGACTAGGAGCCCTTATCGGCCACTTGCTTTACGAGCATTGGAATTCCGGCTCTTCCGGCCGCTCAAGGGCGAAAAGGGGCCGCGAATCGCCCGGTGTCTGAACAGTTTAGGGTCTAAATATTTCGGTGTCTGAACTCTTTTGACTAAAACTTTGCTATGGTAAACGGTCGATACGTTGTAAAAAGTCATCTACTGGCCTTGCTGCGTCACAGGCATGCATACTCTTCGGGCCAGCAAGCACTAGCTCAGGTCCCGACCTGCTGCCCAGAGACCTGCTAAAGCCGTTACAACGATCTCATTGCCTTCAAAAAGGGCAAAGCACAGGCCACTATCCGCCAGGGAGGACACCGTCTCCTCAAAGGCCATCTCTGTGAAAGCCAGAATATAATGTACTTTCGCTCGGCCCAGAGGTAAACCACAAGGAGCCGTGGGTCTGAAAGAATATGTCTTATAGCCTCCGAGGGTATAATTTTGTCTTTGAGAATACAAAATGTGTTCATTTTCCGACTCATTGACTTCTCAAAACCCGGATCCAACCCATGATCACTATCTGTTGTTGGATCGTCTAGTATCTGGCTGTGGGGCCACATTGCAGCTTCGATCCATTGCAAATAATCAAGAAGTTCTGAGAACGGCGTGCTCGGTAACCCTGAGCTGCTTCTGGCATCGTAAATGTTGGATTACCACGTAGGTTTCGTACGGTTGAGAGGGAGCAAATTTCTTCAACAAGGCGCCATGCACTGGCTTCGGCCCTCTCGGCGTCGGTGTCATAGTGTTCTATAGGACGAAGCCGACGTATTAATACTCTGATGGCAGTAAAGTCAGGATCTCTGTTCGCGAGTTCCTGGATCTGGGGACTATGAAACCCAAGGTCCAGAGACAGCAACACCAAACAAGATTGGCGTTCTTCAGGGGACCCTTTAACAAAGGGCTTCTCCAATCACGTGACTCGAGGAGCAGTCTGGCTGAGCATAGTGAGATCTCACGTAGCTGTGAGAAACAGCATAAAGTAACCCAGCTCCTTGCACAGACTGGCCTTTCCTTGAACAAAATAAAATTTCAGTCCCCAGTTTGAATCTTGATTATGCCTTACATTTGCCTATTTTAGGTAAAGCAATGGTGGAATGACTGCCGGAAGAAGACCTTACAGTTTGGCGGCAGTAGAGGGCACAGCGATTTCACGCATGCCTCCATGTAGATTGTATTTTGAAAGAAGGTGAAAAAGGACGGGATTCCGCTCCCCACCAGAAGTAGATGAGGAAGAATTTGTCCCAAAACTGTTGATCTACCAACAGCAGAAAATATCTCACCTTTAGCTGCAAGCGCTTCAATCGCGGCCCTGTGTGGTGTTGAATCTGGTGTGAGCGTTTCTAATACTTTCACGGTGTTGCCATCCAGAAGGTTGAATATCTCCATGTAAGAAACGAGTCCGAGTACCTCCGCGGAAAAGGAGGGGGATTGGCTCACCATCCTGCTTTAGGTCTAGGATCCGCAACTGAGAGTAGACAAGGGCATCACTGAGGATATCAGGAGAGATGATCGCCGGGACATAGTGATTGGAATCATAAACTCAAGCACATCCCTCCACGCGAAATACCTCCACCTGGTGGTTGACATGTTTGTCGCTAACCTCGCCTCGCAATGAAATGCCGTGATAGTGGAGATGGTTTAATGACACCTTCGCTCGGCCACAAGAACGGAGCTGCTTGTCTCAGAGAATCCTCTCATCAACAGATTCAGTTGACATGATAGTTTCCACCTTGGTTGAGCAAGGGCCTCACAGCTGGATGGGTTACCTTTATATAACCCTCTATGAAAGAGAAAAATGTGAAAATATGCTTTAGGGATTATGTTAAAAGCATTGAGGACCTATCCTACATCAGCCATTTTGTTGTGGCTGATGGTGAGCCAGATTTACTAGCCTCTTGACAAAGAGCAGAAATGTGCTCTTCCTTGAATTAATAAACTGCTGAAGTCTGTTCAACATAATGTCCATATGTTCGTAGATCAAGTATACTGTATCATTGCGGCTAGTCTGTGGGACCAAGTCAAGAAATCAGTTACCAAGGATAATGTAAGATATGAGCTCTAGCGAGCGATGTGGCGAATGCTTAACAGAAGGAGGCAGCAAGGGGAGACTCCTAACTAAGTATGGTCTGTACGCTTAAGCTGTCAGAGCTTAGACGTATATAACTACCAAGCTATGTAAGAGTCAACGGTCAGCAAGTTCAAGGCGGCATCGGAAGCTAACTCCTCAAGATATTGGTCTCCGCGCATCCATAAAGCTGCCTGAAACCACCAACTGTCTTTTCCGAACCGCATTGCTGTTGTAAACTCCCAGTATTCAGGATACCAGCCTGCAGACTCCCAATCCAGAACACCTGATAAATGCCCTTCCTCGTTGACAAGGTTATTATGAGCCTTGAAGTCCCCGTGGGTAAACATTATCCGATGGGGACGTTGCTGAAATTCTTCGCACATAGCAGTGCTTCTTCATACTCTGCAGTTGAATTGAAGCCATGAGGGGAGGCTGGATTGAAGAGGAATGCATAAAAATCCCTAGTGTCTGCAAAAGGACCCATGGAATAATCAGGAACCCCGGGAGCTTCGTATAAGCGTGCCAATTACTGAGCACATGGAATCGTGATAAGGAGATCGCCATTGACGCATAGATTGTATGCATGTTTTTAGTTCATGCAGCCACGGTTCCTCGTCAACTTTTAACTGCTCAGATGAATTGTTCAGTGGCACACCAGGCAATCTTGTCATCAGGATTGAAAATATCCGGTTGAATGGGTCGTCTGGATGCTCCCCACAGCTTAAGAATTCCGGGACAGGGATTCCAGTAGGTTCGGCCATTTGCATACCGACAGCCTCCTCTATGCTTGTCCGGTCCGTCCATTTCATTACCAGCCCAAACGGCAGTTGCACGACGTGGGCGTCAAATGGGAGTTCGAGCCATGAGCAGTAACATTCCGAAAAACAATACAATGCCTTGTGAAGGATGCCGCAGGATACGCGTACTATTCTGCTTGGTACATGGGGTACCAGAGGAGTAGTTTCAGAGATGGCATGTCGTGCTGGTCGCGGCCAGGTGAAGTGCGTGAAAGCGCAAGGCTGAACGAAGTTGCGGCGCAGTCTGGGGATCAGATTTCTCAGTTCTCCAGTCTGCAGGGTAGGACACAGCTGCGCCAAGGTGACCAATGATATATCTCTGTATGATGACCTTACCTCTGTTGCCAACCATTCCCATTGATAAGAAGCGCCACTTTAATCATCGCCTTCGCTTCATTGTCAGAACCTGCCCCTCCCCACCTTTGGAACAGTCCCTTGTGCTTTTACCTTTATTATTAGAAACTGTAAGAAAGATATTATTGGTCGGCTAGTCTGAGTTTTGGCCCATTGCAGGCCTCACCGACTTTTGCGCCGTTCTCTTTGAGATATAACGTACAACCACAACCGTCAAGCTCGCTGTCGAGCCCAGCTATAGTGAGATAGCTAATACAGCATCACTTCCTGCACTTAGTGGGCTACACCGTAGTAACCGAGATAGTATTATTCACTTGTGCGATCATTCCCTGTTCTTGCAAAAGAAATCCTAACGGCTGCTCTTCCTCCTCTCAAATGGATGGACTATCATCTGCAGCTAGCGTTATCGCTGCCATCCAACTCATGAGGAGTGTTGTGAAGATATGTAGTGACTACATTCGCGGGGTCAAAGATGCACGAGGCGACATCATAGCCTTACAAAAGACAGTTGCAGGGCTTGAGGGGACTCTTCAGAAACTCAAAGACTTCCTCCAGGGACCTCATAACACAAGGCTAACCAGCTCCTCGCCACTGGTCAAGAACATCACCGATTGTCTTTCAGACCTTGGAGCCTTGGAAAAGAAGATTGATCTAGGGAGTGGGAGTAATTTGATGAGGAAGTTTGGATTGCGAGCTTGGAAGTGGCCCCTGCAACGCACAGAGGTGGACAGAATCATCCAGAATCTTGAGAGATACAAGTCGTCTTTCACCTTGTGCTTAACAATTGATCAAGCGTGCGTCCCCCGGCCATACGGCTATTGGCAGCTTGCTCACACCTGCTCAGGGCCCTCGTTACTCGTATTAGTCAGACCACCGACCGTATCGACCTCAATATGGACCTAAATAAGTTGCCAGTTGCGCACGGGGCCGAATTCAACTCAAACCTGAACCAATATGAAAATGATTGTCTACCAGGCACCAGAGAAGACCTTCTTCATGATATTCTGGCATGGGCTAGGCTGTCGCAGGGAAAATGTATTTTTTGGTTGAATGGTAGAGCAGGCACCGGGAAATCTACGATCTCACGAACAGTCGCAAAGACTTTTAATGAAGCCAATTTGTTGGGAGCAAGCTTCTTCTTCAAAAGGGGTGAAGGAGACCGAGGGAATACATCAAAACTTTTTCCGACAATTACAAGACAATTAGCGAAGAGAATTCCCCAGCTGATCCCTACTATTCAGAAGGCAATTCATGATGACCCTGACATCGCAACAAAGGGGCTAAAGGAGCAATTTGATAAAATACTCCTTCGGCCACTTATTGACTTGAACTCATCCACTCTTCTGATTCCATTCATGGTGGTAGTGATAGACGCACTGGACGAATGTGAAGTGGACAATGACATGCGACTTATACTCCAGCTGTTACCCCGCCTACAGAAGTCGAATTCCGTACGCTTTCGAATATTCATAGCCAGCAGGCCTGAGTTGCCGATCCGGTTAGGTTTCTCGAAGATTGCACCTCATGACTATGAAGTACTTTGCCTCGATAAGATCCCAGAGCACGTCATAGAGAGAGACATATCATTATTCTTGAAGCACAGACTCTCAGACATAAGGACGGAGCGCTGCCTGCCTGTCAACTGGCCTAAAGACGCTGATATTCATAGGTTAACGGC